CCCCCCCCCCCCCCCCCGCTCTCTCTCTGCTCTGTAGGAAAGCATTAGCTAATGCGCTATCAGCTGCACCATCTATGTGGACTCTGGGTAATGCAGGGATGGGAGCTTTGCAGGTATTCCACTAACTCCACTTAGTCATATATGTCTTTGGCGGTGCTAAGGGTCCCTTTGGTAGAAGTGTTCTTTTTATTAGCTTTATTTGTTGGTAGGGTCGAACCATCTCTCAATCAAAAGCTGAGCAATTAGTCTGGAAAGATTCCTTATGCTAGAAAGATTTACCATTTATGAAATATGAACAACCTTTTGATTGTTTTGTGTGCAGAGGCTTGCAGAAGATAGTCACCCTGCCATTGCCGCGGCAGCATCCAAAACCATCAAAGAATTGAAGAGACAGTGGGAAATCGAAGAGGGGGACAACTGGCGGTTCATGGTTAACGATTATTCACCACATGATGATGATGATGATGGTGATGGTGATGATGGTGATCATGATGATGTAGTAGACAGCTAATACTCTGGTAATAGTCTGTCGAAATTAACTTCAGGGATGACACCAAGATTGAGGCAATCACGCACAGACAATTGATGTCATGTTTGTGAGAACCAATTGTTAATGAGCACTAGCCAGTGTTAACCTTGGTGTCATCTGTGATATGATTGTAGCATGACCCAATAAATCAACTAACGGGAGATTGTGCTTAACAACTCAACTGTGTATAGATATATTGTGTAGGTGATTCTTGGATTAGTCTCTTGGCCCAATGACTCTTGTTAGGTCTGGCTAAAGCTATCTGATTGTGCTTTAGGATTGCAATTCCAAATGTCACACAACTTGGATTTTTTTAAATACTATTGATTATATTACAACGTAGTATTTGTTCATATTTATTTTTTTTCAACCTATTAAAGCACGTCCTTGTTGGATTCGAACCCGGGTGAGTTTTCCATCCAGAATCCTTGCGGTGGTTCTCATGCCACCCAAGTCATGGGCAAGTTCCTATGACCACTAACAAGTAAATAGAAAGAAAAAAAAATGAATGGAAGATTTAGTTGATGCACCTTGAATAATTGCTTGTGCTACTTGATGAGTGAGTAAATAAGAAGAAAAGGATGAATCTTATTACAAGAATTTCCCCATGCCCAGTTGGACTATAGCTCTACAAGGAATGGAATTTATCTCTCATACATGCAAGGGTTCAATGTTGTTTACAGATGTCTTTTATCGTCCTTGTCATCATGAGAACTTTTGTTACCCTTAGACATACTTTTGTTATGAAAAAATGTTGGGATGAGAAACACCCAAATTTTCGCTATCTTGCTACAATTATACGCTTCTCTTCTTGGAGAAGAAGCAATGTCGATATTTAACATTAGGTAACTTTGTGTCAACAACTCTGGTAATACAAAGGACGCAAGCATTATCCGAAATGATCAGGCGTAAAACGTCTCCATTTCATTTTTATCATTTAGAATATATATATATATATATATATATATATATATATATATATATATATATATATATATATATATATATATATATATATATATATATATATATATATATAATATAACTCTTATGCAAACTTATGACATTTTAAAGTGAGTAAATTTTATTCATGGTCCTAATAACAAAGAGTTTCATATCTAGACCAGAGCTTTAATATATTACTCCCTCCGTTCTAAATTAAATTACTGTTACCATTCACAAGGTCAAATTGTATTCACTTTCTTTTCTTATTTTCATTAGTAATTTGATAAAATTATATAGTCATATCACCACTAGTTTTGTAGATCTTTTGATGTAGCTTTTAAGCATGTATTTTTTAATTTTTAATTCTACATCATTTTTCATATAAAATGATTTGAAAATTACTTCAGTCAAAAATCGTAAACTAAAACAAGCAATTTAAATTGGGACGTAGGGAGTATATTCTTAGGCCTCTTTATTTGATAATTATTTTATGTGTAATCACTAATTTGACCCCGATATTATTTTTCACATTTAATTCATTAAAGATTGATGATGAAATATTTCTCAAATAGTAAGGATCTCTAATGTAATATCTTAGAATTGTAAATTTTATATGAAAAACTAGCTCCATTTATGAAATTTACTCTTATATTATTTAGGAATATAATATACTACATACTCCCTTCGTCTTACAAAACTTTTCTTCTTTCTTTTTTAATCCGTCCCAAAAACAATTTCTCATTTCTTTAAAAGTTAATTTTACCCTTACTAATTTTTGATGTACATATCACATCACACTTTTTCACTCTCAATTTATCCATCGCATTCTACTTTTACACATCACATCCAATGACATGTTTAAAAACCAAACACCAAAATATCATATCATATCATCACATATTCACATGCACTCTATTTCTTTGGACTTTAGTCTCTTGTTGTTTTTAATGAAACATTATAAAAATGAATACATTGGCCGCAATATGTGCGTTACTTCCATTCAGATATACTCTTAATCCATCAAAATAGTGGGTTCGTTTTGAAACGATTTCAACATTTAATTTTAATATTTTAAAATTTTATCTAACAACAGAATTTATTTTTAGCATTTTTAATATTAATCTGCACAATTAAAAAATTTTAAAAATAATCTAAAACATAATGCTAATAGAAAATATTATGGAAACCATATAATAATTAAAGGAATAACTCTAAATAGAAGTAAAACATAGAAAAAGTATTAAAATTAGGAGTTTGCATTATGATAATGTGACACTGTACATGGACATTTTTCACTATAATTTTCAGTAATGTATATACTCATGATTGACACTGTATATGCGGCACATTAACTTCTATTTTAGAAATAAAACATAGAGCTATTAATTGGTATACTTTCAATATTTTAATCTTATTTTAGTCAATGATCATAACACTATTATAATGAGATGATAATAATAAAGTTAGTTAACTAATTACCTATTATTAACAATATGGGTACAACTAATTAATTAACCTCTTCCTCTATAATCACTCTATTATCAAGTGGATTATATTAATTAACATAAGCATGCATGCATGGCCCCTCAATTAACCTAACCCCGCTTAAGGTGCTCTCCCTCACACTCTCATCCCCCAAACAACTATTTATACCCTTCTCTTCTTCCCTTTGTTCCCTCACACACTAGCCAAATAAAACAAATTAAATAAAAAAAACTCCAAAAAAATATTATTTATTAAAACAAAAAAATAAATAAAATGGCAAAAAATTTTGAACTCAACCTTTTCCTTGTCATGGTTTCCCTAGTGGCCATGGCGGCTCTGGCCAACGGCCAGGTAGGGGGAGGCGTCGGCGGGAGGTCTCCGATCACCGACGCGAAATCCAACAAACAGGTCCAGGAACTGGCAAAGTTCTGCGTGGCGGAATATAACAAGGGACTCAAGGAGAAGAAGGCGGCGGCGGGGAACGGTGGCGGCCCGATCACCTTCTCCGAGGTGGTGAAGGCCGAGAAGCAGGTGGTGGCCGGGATGAAGTACTACCTCCGCATCACCGCCAAGACGTCCGGCGGCGCCACCAAGACGTTTGACGCCGAGGTCTTTGTCAAGCCACGCGCCACCGAGAAGGAGCTGATCACCTTTGCCCCCTCCAAACTGGCTTAATTTTTCAATTAGTACGTCGTGTTGCATGCCCTCATTAATTAGTTATTAGATTAATGGTTTTCTTTTCTTCTTTAATTAATTTTTGTGTTTAATTAAATAGTAATAATACCGGAACCGTGGTTTGCATTTTGTCAACCACAGGTTTTTTTTCCCTTATTTAAATTATTACTACGTATTTACTTTAACGTTTTACCATACTTCTAAATTACCGCGATAAAAAAGTTCATGGGTGAATTAATCCATTCTTTACATGGAATGAGAAATTTGTACAAATGTATTGTCTCATTGGTTGAGCGAAAAAACAAAATGAAAACTACAACTAACTTTCGTCATAAAAGTGTGGATCTAAAAGATAATTTTCAATAAAATTAAGAAATTTTTAAAACTAGTATCTCGTTTTAAATATTGGTATAGAAATAAAATACTCCGTATAAATGCTATGTTAAAAGTTTTATAAAATAAAATGTGATAAAAATATTTTATTTTATCAAATAATTAATAAAAAGATACGAATAAATAAAAATTATCTTCAAATAGTAAACATGACATTTATTTTAAGAAGGAAGTAATAAAAAATTGGAACAAAAAAGCCCTTTTTTGGTAAAATTTTGGAATTGATGGGGTAACGTGCAAAGCCGGAAATAATCAAAGGGCATAATATGCAATTTTAAAAAATCAATACTCGAACAGAGCAATTTTCTACTTTCTAAATTTGATATCGCCGGAAATGGCCGCCTCGTCGCGCGCTTTCCTTTCCATATCCAGCCGCCGTTCAGCCACCAAATCCTCCTCCTCCAGAATACTCTCTCTCGCTTCCGCAGAGCCGTCGGAACTCCAGATCGACGACAATGCGGTCACCGCCGTCTGCAACTCCCTCCGCCGACGCCACACCTGGGAAACCCTAGCCAAGGAACTCAATTCCATCAATCTCACGAACTCACTTGTCAGGAGAGTCCTCCTCAACCTCAAAGACACTTCCAATGCAACGAAAGCTCTGAATTTCTTCCACTGGTCAGGAAAATCCGCCAGATTCAACCATGGCGTTCTGACCTATTGCATCACCATTCACATTCTCGCCAAGGCCAGGCTCGTAAAGGACGCCAAGGCATTGCTCGAGTCGGTTTTGACCAAACCGGGTAATTCTGATGTTTTTACAGTTCTGGATTCACTGCTCGAAAGTTACGAAACCATTGATTCTGTGCCATTTGTGTTTGATCTGTTCGTCCAAGTTTGTTCTAAGCTGAGACTTTTAGTTTTAGATAGAGCTTTTGATGTTTGTAAGAGCTTAGATGAAAATGGATTTCTGCTTAGCGTTGTTAGCTATAATACTCTGCTTCACGTGCTGCAAAAATCCGAGAACCATAGATTGGTTTGGGATGTATATGGTCATATGATTGCGAAAAGAGTAAACCCTAATCAAACCACTGTCGAAACCATGGTTAGTGCTCTCTGTAAAGAAGGGAGGCTGCAATGGTTCGTGGATCTCGTGGGTAGGATTCACGGGAAGAGATGTGGTCCCGGGGTGGTTGTGAACACTCGTTTGATCCATGGGATGATAGAAGATGGGAGAACCGAAGAAGGGTTAGTTCTGTTGAAGAGAATGCTGCAGAAGAATATGATTGTTGATACGGTTTCGTATTCTTTGGTTGTTTTTGCAAAGGTGAAGACCGGTGATTTGGATTCCGCGTGGAACACGTACCACGAAATGCTCAAGAGAGGTTTCCAAGGGAATGCTTTTGTGTACCACATTTTCATCTCATCACATTGTGACAATGGGGGAGTGGATGATGCCATTGTGCTGGCGCGCGAAATGGAAAAAGTCAACATGAAACCGCTCCTCGAGACATTCGATAGTCTCCTAAAGGGGTGTTCGAACTCGGGAAGGGTAAACGAAAGCTTGGGTTTTTGCAAGAAAATGGTGCAGATAGGGTATGTTCCTAGCCCTTGGGCTTTCAACGTAATGACAGAAAAGCTCTGCGAAAATGGCATGGCGAAGGAGGCCGACCAGATGTTGACTGTCCTGTTAGACAAAGGGTTTGTTCCGGACAAAAACGCTTACTACCATCTTCTTGCTGGTCATGCCAAGGAAGGTGACATTGATGGGGCACTCAAGCTTTATTATGAGATGGAGTACAGGTCAATCTCCCCTAACTCTTCTTGTTTTACTTGGCTGATAATTGGCCTTTGTAAAGTTGGGAGACTGAGTGAAGCAGAGAAATTGTTGTGTTTAATGAAAGCAAGAAGTTTATCTCCAAGTTCTGATCTCTGCAAATTGTTGATTTCTTGCCAATTAGAGAAGGGGGATCAAAGTAGAGCTGATCAGCTGTATAGAGAGATGATATGATGGTGAATAAATAAGGTTTTGAATGTCAAAATTGGCTCCTTAAAGCAAGTCGTAAGCCTCAAATTAATATAAATAGAAATAATAATATAAATAAACTAATAATAATACTTCGTAATAATATTAATATTAATATTAATATTAATATTAATTGACCCGTATCCACCTCTAATAAAGACCAACTAGGCTCGTGCCTAAAAGGGATTAAGGCAAACCCTAAAAACTTAACTCAAAATATTTTGGCTTTCTTTAGCATTATATTAGCCTTGACATTTAGTTTTAGTGTTTTAAAAATGTTATTCAATAATGGCTTTTAAAATTAACATTTTCAGCATTCTCTACACTATTAAAATTTTATCCTAATCAATAACACTAATTACAACAAATGAAGCATTCGAAGAATAACTCACCCTAAAGATGGCAAGAGTCAACACTTTTAACATTATTTCTTGCGCCCCTTTAAACACAGTGACTTTGTTTGGGAATAACGTTTCGGTTAGCATTACTATTTTGAATATTTTTTTAATTTTGCAAATTGACGTTGAAAACGCCAAAGTTAACACTACAGTTAGATAGTAGTTTCAAGCCTAGAACCAAATGTTGAAGTTGTTGCCACACAAGCACACATGTCTCGAGCATCCGAGACCTCTTAAGGCGTAACCATCATTAAAAAAAGATTAAGGCTTAACTCTTAGAATATGTTTTGTTCAAGGAATTTAAAAGAAACAAAATCATATGGAATTTTTTTGTTTGGTTAAAGAGAAAAGGAAAAAAAAGCAGAAAGAAAACATAGAGGGCATTTGGAACTGTGCTTGAGAACTCTTAGCGCCTGTTTCGTGAGTTTTGAAGAAATGATAAGATATGGATCATGATTTAATTAGTGGTAAAGTCGGGGTGGTTGGCGGTGACAATGGTAGCTGGTGGCGGAGAAAGATCAAAGGTGGAGAGAGATATATCAAACCCCCATATTGATATCTCTCAAACTTGAGAGATATCGAAACTCTCCATTTGAAAGATTTATGATATCTGAAAATATCAAATTCGATGTCTTTTTTGGCTTCACCAAACACCAAGAAAGAATTTTGATATCTTGATTGTCCACCAAACACGCCCTTAAACTTTTATTTCACCAAAAAAGAATTTTGAAAATCTACTTTAATTTATAAATTTGGCTTCATAAATATATAAATTGAGTTACAGAAAATACTTTTCAGCAAAGCTATGAGTAATTTCTTTCGACTTGGCACTTTTACGGTAAATTTCAGTAACGGTACCTGAACTTTCACTGGAATTTCGAAGTGTTACCTAAACTTTAAATCCTTTCACAAAAATACATGAACTTATTTAATTCTTTCACTAAAAGTCCATTTACCCGTATCCAGGTAAACTTTCAGTCATTTGGGCTAAAATTAGAATTTTATATATTTTAAAATTTTTAATTTGACCCAATTTCTTTTTTTTTCTTCCCCTCCCACTCCCTTCTTTTTCTTCTTGAGAAATGCTAGAGTTACAAACATTTCGGTCACAAAATACACAAACTTAACATTTGTACATTTTAATGATTACTTTTAAATTATTCAACATTATTTTATTCACTCAAAGAGGTGCACAAATGGTAAGTTTGTGTATTTTGTGACCGAAGTGTTTGTGACTCTAGCATTTCTCTTTCTTCTTTCACCCCTTTTTCTTCTCCTTCTTCTTCCTCACCCACCCCACGACTCAAGTGGCAGCACAAGTACAACATAATCAAATCCCTAGCTTCTGCAATTCACTACCTCCACGAAGAATGGGAGGAGCAAGTGATCCACCGGTGCATCACATCCTCCGCCGTAAATCTTGACGACGGCATGAACCCGCGGCTCGGTTCATTCGCTCTGGCCGAGTTCTTGGCCAGGAACGAGCACGGAAACCACCACGTGGTCGTCAACAGGAACAAATCCGTCCGCGGGATTTTCGGGTACATGTCGTCGGAGCACATGGACTCCGGGGAGGCGACTGCCACCGCGGCGGATGTGTATAGCTACGGGGTAGTTCTCTTGGAGATTCTCATCGGGGAACCGGCGGTGGATTTTCGCCGGCCGGAGGTGATCTTTGTTCACAAGCTACATAAGTTTGAGCAGAGCAAAAGGCCGTATGAAGATCTCGCCGACCGGAGGCTGACGGCGGAGAGATTAATAAAAGAAGGGAGTGGGAGGGGGAAGATGAAAAAAAGAAGGGAGAGAGTGGGGGACTGGCAGGGTGGGACTGGGAGTGGGGTGAGGAAGAAGAGAATGATAACAAAATAGTATTTCACAGACAAAAGAGAACTAATGATAACAAAATAGTATTTCAAACGTTGGTTAATCATTTTATATTCATCTACAAAAAATCAAATTCAAATAAATGATTATTTAAATAAAAGATCATTTGTAATTCATCAACAGTTTAATCAACTATTCAAAACCAATTTATTATTTAATGAAGAAATATAAAAACATAATTATTTTTATAACTTTGTATATATGTTTGATTCAAAATTTTTCAATATGAGAAGGTACCTCGTACCGACCCAAATACCGAACCGATCATTCGGTTCGATATGGTACTATTCTTTTTTGGTATTTTATCGATTCAATAAGTTCAATTTTTTTGAGAAATTTCAAAATCAATTCAGTATATGCTTACCCTTACCTAACACTATTGGAATGAATGCATGTACTCGCATGATAAGAGCTTATTATCTCACTTCAAGATCGGATAATTTAGGTATGTGTTTGGTTCAAACAAATTATACCGTACATCTGGATGTACCTACATTATTGTAGGTTCATCTCGATTAACTCATAAATATACATAAACTATTTTTACAATATGCACATTCTGAATAAATGTAAAAGAAGAAATGCTCTTTTTTCAACAATTTCATTTTCAAACTTTTATTTTAATTCACTCATATATTATTAGCAATAAAATAAAAACTTCTAGCAAAAAACACATTCTGCCATTATTAAAAAAAATGCATGCATCCATCTAATGCCATGCGTGATCTATAAGTATATGTAAATAAATAAATTGATCTATAAGTATAGCCCCCGGTAAATCCCCCCACTCTGCCCCGACCCGAACACAACCCCCTCCAATTGCACCCCTAAGTTAATTTTGACTTTAAAGTCAAAATTTGACTTTTAAATCAAAATTAACTTGAGGTTTGCAATTGAAGGGGTGTTTGGGTCATGGCGGGATGAGGGGTTTACCGAGGGGTAGGAACCGTCAATTTTACGAACGGGACACCGGAGCACCCCGGATCATCCCATGACATTGAAAACCAATGTCATGGGAACCAAAGCCATAAGTATATGTAAATAAATAAATATGCGAAATGAGTATTGTTTGACTAGTAAATGTGCATATGTCGGAGGTTTTTGCAGTCTAAATAATCAAGCTCACCCATATTTCTCCAAATTACACAATGTGCACAATGTTACATTTCTTATTCTCAAACACCATAAACAAAATGAGTGAAGCAGGGCGGGGTTGCTAACTGGTACGTGCACATGACTCAAGTTATAATCGGATCCGGAAAACGTACCTGATCTACCCCTCAACTTTTGATCTCCAGCCTTCAATGACATCATCCGTCAAAGCCCTTGTTTTGACAAAGGAGTCCCGGGAGAATATGGTCTGCAACCGATCAAGTGAAAAAGATGTCCGGGCACACACAGACACAGGTTACAAGAATGAGCCCAGAAAATAACTTTCCTTAAGTGTATACGGAGTAACATTTTACGGGATCCAAACATACCCTAAAAGTGTGTTTGGTAGAAGGGAATTTGGAAGGGGAGGAGGGAAAATGCTCTCCTCTCCTTATTTGGTTCAAAATTTTTGGAGGGTGGGAAGCCAAATTTTTGTAGGAATGGAATGAAAAAGTTAGAGGGAGCTCAAAATGCCAATTTTAGATAATTGTTCAAACTTCACCCTGTTTAAATGGTTTAATTATATAAGGACTAAGAAATCTAAATACATTTAAGAATATGAGCATAAAAAACATTTTTCACAGCAATTTTCTTTCCATTTACCAAGTTCCAAACACAGCTTAAGAGCCCGAGATTTGTATATTTTTTCCCTAAAACTTTCAAAGTTATACGGGGCAGGCAGCCACAAACTTGAAAGAGAAACATAAATCTTTCTAAGTTAGTGTCTAGTACCGAGATTGGGAGAATAAGTATGGCATACCTTCATGTATGACTTCACATAGACAAGTGAATCGGGGACTGACCACTTCTTGTAGTACCCCAGAGCAATTTCCATGTGGAACAGCTTTGGTCCTACAGACAAGTCCGCAGCAGACACTTCTTTACCGTTGATGAATGGGCCCTTCCAGGAAAATAAGGTACAAAATTAAAACCACTTTTCTGAGAACATGTATCAATGTCAAAGCAAATGTATCTCTAATCTCTAGTTCTCTACGTGATGAACACTCCAAGCCTGTAAACAGAGGCTAGTCTTTAAGAACGGAAATCCACCAAGTAGCGGCTTGGCTATCTAGTTGAAAATTTCCAAACAAAGTTAAGTGCAAGATGGTTTTTGGTTGAAGATATTAGCAAGAATAAAATATATGGGAATTTTATTTGTTACAACAGTTCAAGAATGTTAATACTTCATCCAATATATTGGATGGATTGTAATAGAGTACTCCCTCTATCCCAAAAAAAAAGTTTTGTTAGACCAAGGTACGGACTTCTAGATTTTGGTTAGATGTAACTCTTAAAAATGGAATACTTCGGGGTATTATTTATGAGTATATTTTAAACTTTAATCTTGGTTTTGGACTCATATTAAACTCATTTGTAACTTTATTTTGGCAAATCACAAGGAAAAATAATCATTTTATGAAATAAGACTTTTTGGGAAATAAGTCTTTGGACGTGACTTTTTTTTAGCAATAGAGTAATAACTAATGAGTTCTTGTCGTGCTCAAGTAAGATACATGTATGTAAACAGATAAGTGACTTACATTTTCTTTAAGGTAATCATCAAAAGCAGTCAGTTCTTCTAATAAAGCCTGCTCCGTTTGATCACCTGTGTCTTTGCTTTTCAGAAAACCAATAAACTTGGAGAAGATCTTTGATCCACTACAAGCACACATGCACATACATATTAAGAGAATAACACTATTGCAGTATAAACTCTAAATTGCTAGAGGAAGTACTTTATTTGATAGCCACTGGAAAAACTCAAGCAAAGACCTAAAAGCTTTACTCCCTCTGTCTGGTTTACTTGCTCACTTGTGACTTGTCCCAACCCCTCAAATTTTAGAAATATGATTAACGATTAATTCCAAACATCCCAAAAAGGAAATGTGGGCACCCCACGATAAGTAAACAACTACGGAGTAGAAAGTAAATAATTGTGTTATTAAAAATAATACTCTGTATGATAAATACAGCATATCGTCTTTAGACAATGCTTGCTACTACAGCTTATGGGAATGCATTGTCCATATCAGTAAATTTGCATGTAGAGAGTAGAGGATAAGGGCCTTTTGGTCAGGGCTATTTATCAGAATGGCTTTCAAGAAATGAATAGCCACCCTATAGTGGATGTTACGGGCTGAACAGCTGTTTCATGAAACCGGCATAAAAGGTCTGAATGACCAATAGTGACAAACCATGGAGGAACCAAGGAATTCCACATATTCAGATTAGATCAGTCTGATAGAAAAACATACACAGAAGCCCTTTCTGGAGGTGTTATCAGTGACGGATCAGGAAACTTCTCTTCCAGAGCCTGTGTGATGACATCTGAATCTGGAATCCATTTCTCATCGAGCTTAACAACAGGAACCTTACCCTCTGGGCTTACTTCAAAAAACCTGTTACAAAATAATTTAAAATAAGAATTTTTATTTTAAAACATTTCCAACCACAAAGAAAAAATGCATAACATGGAATATCATCACAAGGGAAAAAAACTTTTTCAGGCCTTCACATTACCACTCTGGTTTGTTGCGCAAGTCAATCAGCTTCAAGTTGTATGGAAGATGCTTTTCTTCCAAAGTCAGCAGAATTCTTTGAGTGAATGGACCTGAAGGGAAGTTTTTTTTCAAGTATGTGTAATCTCCTCCTTTGAAAACTTGGTGAATACAGGTTTAGAGCTTGATTTACATACAGAATTTCAAGTAATTACTTCTTGCATCTTGCAAATCGGCTAATTAAGGGCTTGTTTGGTATAGCTGCCAGTCTTTAGTTTTAGAATTTTTAAGGTTATATGATTTAGTTGTATAATGAATTTAAAAGTATTCATACTTATACAAACTATGTTAATACTGAAAACTACTAACAGCAAAAAACTGGAAACCATTTTTTCCTTGTTTCCATAATCTTGTTTTTAGCTTTGAAACAAAAAAAAAGATGAAATAGAAAATGATGTCAAATGAGTCCTAAATTTATGAATTTAACCCCATTAAGTTAAAGGGGCACTAATTAAGATAAATAACAATACTAGAGATACTAACACTAAGAACATTCTGATGACCAAATCCGACAGTATGTAGCAATTACTTAGCAGGCTAAAGTTGAATGATGTATCATTTTCCTCATAAACCTTGCTGAATTCATGCTTAATGTTAAAGATTATCTCAAATAGGATACATATGAATATAATACATTGGACTACCATTCCTGTTTCAGAATGCAATGGTGGCCCTGTGGGCATCAAAGACATGCAGCTGCATAAGAGTCCCAAAATTTTGAGGTGCCAGGGGAAGGTGCACTTAATTACCAACCATGGATATTCTATTGCACTGTGATTGGTTCAAGAAATTTGAAAAGGAAAAGAAAGGAAAGTGATATGGAAAACAATTTTTTTTGTTTGCTTGGAGCGAAAAAGAAAAGAAAAATTGGAAGGAAAAGAAAATAAGAGAAAGAATATGCTAAGGAAAATATATTTCCTTCCATTTTGCTGAGGAAAACTTTTTTCCTTTCCTTTCCTTCTCAAATCCTCAAACCAAACATAACGTTGATGTATGTTTTAGATAGAATATTCACTTCAGTATGTGTTGGCTATGCAATGTATTCGTAAAAAATGTGCATATGTTATTTTCTGTTTAAATTATCAAATTTCTTTAAATTCGTGACTATTTGCTTCATCTCGAAAAGCAATATCTTGGTTCCAAATATTACTTGGGTAAAATACTAGTGCATGTAACACAGATTAATCACATACTCCGTATCATACTGATACAAGTGCCCTAAAGAAATCTTTCTGAAGCCCTAAAAGTAACGGATGTACTACAAACTGTAAAAATCGGATTTTTATTTTTAAGTTCTAACACAAAATTCCAGATTTCTAATGAGAACGTCAAGTAATTACTTCCTTCAGCTTGTGAAAACAGCCAGATGATTAAATTATTACATTTTGAGGCAATTTAGTTGTACGGAGTATATAATTTGGGCAAAAATTGCTAAC